GTTTTATTCATTTCATATTCTAACATAACTACTAAGCAACTTTAACCCTCCGCCTTACTTTTATCTTCTTTTTTCACTTAAGAGTGTCGAAATGCTGGTAACTCATATGGCAACTCTTATCTGGGATCTAGAAGGCAATAACTTCAGCTTTCAAACTTGCTTTGTAAATTGCCCATTCTTAGAAGTGGTGGAAATATTTTACACTATCTGAATAATAATGAACATTACTGCTCAGTGATTTATAACTCTAAGAGCTTTATAATTTGATTTATGAACAGCTCTCAACTTTTCCATTGGCAGCTCAGACAACTATGAGTAAATTTTCTGGCCAAATGACTCAGTATTTTGCTGCATGACTAATTCCACACTCAATGTGGAAACTATATAAATGAATTCTATTTGCTTGTGGATAATAAATGACTGCCTTCCAAAAACTGTCTGCAAAGCATTATGGGGTAGAGGTATTCAATTATATTGACATTTTAAACTCTCAAACTCAGACTTTTCTGAGAAGTTCGTAATGTTCACACACACAAAAAATCGCACAATAAAACCACACATTTCCCCCCACAGCATTATCATGGATTCCACAACCCGCAGGACAACAATCCTTAATTAGGCTCTAAAATTTCTAAAATGTTAAAAGAACAATTTAAAATGAATCCATTTGAAATAGTTTCTTTTATAATGATGTCTTTAAGTTATTTTTAAAGTTTTCATTATGGTAAAATGAATATAAAGTTCTTTCCTAGGGAATATTTGCTGAAAATATTACTTGCTATCACTGCAAATAACAATTGTTTTTCCTTCGAAAACTCAAATTTTAAAAAGATAATAGTGATCCATCCACATGATGGCTCTTCTGATTCTGGTGGTAGAAAAATCGCCTCCAACGTTATATTAGATGATGTAGGTTCTTCCAAATGATGTAGTTCCTTTACCTTTCAATACAAGAACACGTATATTGTTGGCACGTTATGAAAAACCATTTGGAAACAAAGAGGCCATACAACACATTTCCTCAGATTCCTCAATCTCTTTCATACCACTTAATTCTGAGAGTAAAATCTTCACCTAGGAACAAGTAGATTACCAGTCCAAAATCAGTATGATTTATTTCTAGTAATCTATTGCTTGAGCCATTTGTACATAAACTTTCTGTTTTTAAGGAAGTAATATTTCAACATAATGTCCTTGTGTGATTATCAGTTGGGTAATTTACTCACTTCCATACAGGTTTGTAATAAAAGCTTACAGACAATCTGGACCACATTCCAAGGTGTTCCTTACCTTTCCCTCCAAATCATTCTTCTAGTCTGACTTATAGTAGCCAGGGTGAGTGGGGAAGAGACCATGGGCAGGAACCCATCATAACTAGTCAGGGTCAATTTTAACTCTGCAGAGTCAAAAGTAGCCTGAAAGCAGAATGAGCCAGTCTGGAGGACTCAAAGTATGTTAAAACAAAAGCTAAACCACAAATGCCCAGGAGAATGCCCTCTTCCCCCCCCTCTTCACCTCTCAATGTCTCTCCTACTGCTGTTTCCACCCCCCTAGAAACTAACTTGTTCAGGTACTTGTGCCTGACAAAGGGACCTTTACTAGCCTTTATCCAGGCTTTAATTGCGTTTCTACTCATCCCTTTTAAATTTCTCCAAAGATTGTGGACAGCAGCTCTCCTCTGTTTCACCTGCCTCCCTCTTTTCTACTCATTAGTCTGGTTTCAGCCTGTCCCGCTGCCATGAGTCAGTTTTCTGGGAGGTTTCCAGAGGTCTCCTAGTCCCCAGTCCACAGTCCTCATCATCCTTACCCTGCCATTTGTGCAACCGCCCTAGCTAGCCACTCACTACGCTGGAACGCCCCCCACTTGGCCTCCACGGTCTTGCCTTCTGCTCACTGTCTCCAGTCCACAAATGGAAGCAGTTTCCGAAGTTCTGACTCCAACTCTTTCTAGTTTCTCTTCCTTAGTCATTTCATCCATTTCCATGACTTCAACTATAATTTCTGTTGATGATTCCTGTCTGTCTCTGGTTCTGACCTCTCCACCCTTGAGCTTGCTGGATAACTTCACACGGATGTCCTCCTGACACCTCCACCTCAATGGGTCTAAAATTCAATTTGTCATCTTCCCCTTCAGAACTCTTCCTCCACCACAGCTCAAAACTTGTCATTCTGGCGTTGGGTCTAAGCCATGTTCTTCGATCTGACTTTACCCTCAGTAAAGTTAATATGTTGATTTCCTTTTGGTTCCTTTGGTTCCTCCTGTGTGTTCTCAATTTGGTTGAGAATCTAAAGGGAAGGGCTGCCTGATAATGGGTAATCATCTACACACCTGCTACAAACTCTCTTCACTATTTCCCCAAACTCGCTGTCTTCTCTTGAGTGACAGTGCTAATTCATTATCATAAAAAGTCAAAAAATCACATATTTTATATACTTTTCCATTTTGATTTTTATTTCTTGGGATGAAAGATGTGGTCAAGAGCCTTCCACCTCCAGCCCTATCCCCAGACTTTAAATTTTTGTGACTTTGATACCATGTCAATTATTTTTTTAAAATGAAAACGTAGCAGAAGAAAAATTTATGAATTCTACTTAATTCATTTCCAAAAAGGATTGAATAGCTGATTTAATATTTATTGAATTCCATAATGCATTCAGCATCACAGAAACACACAGAAAGAAGCAATTAATAACATGCCATTATTTGGAGAAGGAAATGATAAACTGGCAACAAGCAAATCACAAAATAACAATAGGGCTTAAATACTAAATTTTTTCAATGATTTGGTTTGCTTATTATTTAGTATTCTTGAGATAGCTAATGGAAAGAACAGAAATGAATGCATCTAAAAAGAAATATCTATAATCCTACTGCATGGCAACTAAGCATTTGCCTGCCAAAAGAGATAAATGATGTTCTTGTGTGCACTTGAAACTTATAAATGGCTGCAGCAAGACTCAGGATGATAACAGTTGTGCTAACGTAATAGCTCAGAAAACCATAATTGCTATTTAGTTGCTTTTTTGTTGTTAAAAGTGCAGAGTCTGGGGCAAACTGGTCACTATGCTGTGTTTGTCGTCTTAGACATGTTTCAAGGATATACAGGCCATTTCAGCTCACTCAAAATTTTAGTTAACGAGAAATACAAAGATGACCTCCCTAAATTCTTAGTTATTTCTCCCAATGTTTGCAGAAGGTTAATTCAGTTTTGTTGTTGTTTTAAGTTACTCCACTATGCCACCGTGAGTTGGGGTAGAGAATTCTTCCTTTCTTGATGTGCCACACATTGCAGGCTCTCAGGATTCTCTTCAATAACCCTTGCACCATGGACGGGAATACAGTCTCTCACTGCAGCGGGCTGCAGTATCAGGAAACTGTACAGCGAAGTGCACACGATGCAGTGCTACCTGCCAGCCCGAGCGACAGGGTCCTATGAAGCCTCTCCTGACCTGTAGTGCAGCCTACACTCCGCCATTCAACATTCCCACCTTATCCAGAGTCCCCAACAAGGTCTTTCCGCCTTCAACCCACAACTGAATGAGAAGCAGCATGTCAACAACTTGAATGTTTATTTTGCTTTTGGAAACAAGTTGTAAGTAAGGAAACTTAATCCATTGTTTCCCATGTTTATGAATCTGGCATTTAGGAAATGCATTAGGCAATGCCTTTTTGAGTTTGCTGTAATGCTTACGCACCGTAAGAGTTACAGGTCTTAGGATAACATTGATTAAGCCTTTACGCAGATGTAGTTAATTTTGCATCATTAGAAAACCACCCCGATGATTGAGATCCTTCGAGCACCTAACAAAACTTAAGTACTGTCGTGGATTCTATGCTTTTCAGAATTTTACAAATGACTTTTTTTATGACACAATTTCTTCAGTCTCTTAAATATTCAAGTCCACCTTAGTGGTTAATAAAACCACAAATGCAGTCATGTGCTATCTTGCCATTATACTCGCAGTTTCCTTATGCAAGTAAATGAAACAACACAAACAAACCCCGGCTCCACGCAGCATCGCCTGGGGAGCAGCGAGACGCGCGGGGC